TGACCTGAAAAACTTATGACCAGTAATCTAACTTCTTAATAACATTTTGTTAAGTCGTAGTTTGGCGCTCCTTATTTTTAGGTTTTTTGTTTTGTTTATACTTTTTCATAAAACTTGATTCCATAAACTATGATCTAGTATTATTTTTTAAAGGTGTGGTTCACTGAAAAAAAAACATTTTTACATTATTCTGATTATAATCGGTCACTCTGAGTTTTTCATGCAGGCTGAACATGAAAATAGTCTCCTACAGCTATTTCCTGCATTAGCTCCCGATAGAAACTCTAGGATTTGAAAAGCCTAACAAGATCTGGGTCAAGTGGTTGCTTGGAGTCACCCATACTGGCACACAACAGGGAAGGCTGTTGTTTTTTAGCATCCAGAATCATCGGAGAATGTTTTCATTAGCAGAAGCTACAAGTTAGCATTAGCAACTCAGCAACATGGCAAAAGGTCCTCCAATTCAAGTTTTTCAATTCAATTCAAGTTTATTTATATAGCGCCAAATCACGACAAGAGTCGTCTCAAGGCACTTCACATAATAAACATTCCAATTCAGGTCAGTTCATTAAGCCAATCAGAAATAATGTTTCCTATATAAGGAACCAAGCAAATTGCATCAAGTCACTGACTAGGCTCAGTGACTATACAGCAATCCTCATACTAAGCAAGCATAAAGCGACAGTGGAGAGGAAAACTCCCTTTAACAGGAAGAAACCTCCAGAGAATCCTGGCTCAGTATAAGCAGTCATCCTCCACGACTCACTGGGGATCGAGAGGACAGAGCAGGCACGCACGCATGCACACACACACACACACACACACACACACACACACACACACACACACACACACACACACACACACACACGCACACGCACGCACACGCACACACACACACGCACACACATAAAGACAAAGTAATGTGTCTATGGTTATATTGTGATGTCTTAGTAAATATTCTATTTGGTGAGAGATAAACTTTATTGTATTTATCCTAGTGGATCTATAATTAAACGGATAAACTAGTAGTAGCACATCCAACGTCAAGGAAAGCAAAAAGTTATTATCAGGAGAGGGAGAATGTTTTAGTGGTTAGCAGCAGTGTGCTAGACGGTGGCCCCCTCCATGAGGCCACCACAGCTCAGCAGAACATCATTGTAGCTTCTTCTGGGGAGAAAAACACAGAGAGAAAATAAAGTTAACAGCTGAAATTGCAGGAAATAATACAGTTAAAGAGCAGATTGTAGAAGAAAGCAGTAGAGTGTGGAAAGTGGTCAGTGTATCCTCCAGCAGTCTAAGCCTCCAGGCTTGAGTTATTTGTGGAGATAAAACATCCATGTCGCAGAGCAGAGTGAGTGGTAGAGCCGCATTGCTGTTATCCAATTTGAGGCTAAATGTCCAAATATTAGAAAATAAGACAGCAAATCCTGACTAAGTTCTCTTCTGATGTGGCAGACCTGTCTGTGCTGATGCAGAGGTTTCTGGCCTTTTGCCCCAAGCACGGCTTGTAGGGATTTCATTCAAGTTAGCGGCACCTTTAAATATTACTCTAAGGGCTAGTCCACACGTAGCTGGGTTTTTTTTAAACGAATATCCGCCCCTCCAAAAACTTGCATCCACACCACCGCGTTTTAAAAAACAACTCTGTCCACACGTACCCGGATAAATGCGTTGTTAAGGACATGCCAGACCTGTAGGCGGCAGTACTTCCCCCGTTCTTAACCTCGTCCTTCGTCTGTGGTCTTCCGCAAGGAGCAGTAATTCCGCTTGCAAAAACAAACAAGCAAAAAGCGCTTGGACAATTGATAAAGCGAGCACAGCTCTGAGGGCATCCATGCTGTCGGCTAGTGTAAACACAGGTCGCACACGTGATGTCAGCATTTTTTAGTTGTGGACCTTAAAACTCCGGTTTTGTCCGTCCACGCACAGACACCCAAAACGGATAAAATGCAGATCTTCACTTTGGCCGGAGTTTTTAAAAAGATCCGTTTTCGTGTGAAAAAACTCCGTTTTCGTGTGGATGACAGGCCAAAACGTAGAAAAATATCTACGTTTTGGCAGATCCCTGGCTACGTGTGGACAGGGCCTAAGGATTGTGTTCCATATATTGCATGACTCATCATGTGGAGTTGCATTCATAATTTTACTCACTGTTTCATGATCTACAGCGCTCAGCATAAATGAGTGCACCCCTCTATATTTGTCAGAAAACCCTTAGTTTCCTTTCAGAATCAACATTTTCTATGAGGTACCAAACTACTAAATACTCCCACAGATGTGGGCCGTTGATTACAAACAAGATATGTTCATTTACACACAAATACCGTTTTCCTAACAAATCCATTCAAGCCCGTGTTGCAAAAATGAGTACACCCCAATTATAGTCTCAGGAGAAAAGTCACACGTAAGACTACAAAATTTAAATGTACAAGCATTAAACCACAGGTGAGTGTAATGATGCATTTAAGAGGCGTCCGGCAGACAGGTGACTCTAAAAGGGAATTACTTAACAAAGAAAAGCCCTTCCTGTTTCATGCTGTCAGCAACGGCTGTGGATGGAAGAGAAAAGTCACAACATCTGAGAAAGGAAATCATTTCTTTACACAAAAAAGGTGAGGGATACAAGACGATCAGCAAAGCTCTAGTCAAAATGCTGTAGCAGAAGAGATCCAAACGTTTAAGAAAGATGGAAGTGCAACCATCTTACTGAGACGTCCAGACCGTCCACTTAAGTTAACATCTCAACAGGAGCATCTTCTGATGAGAAGGGTTGAAGAACATCACCATGCAAGTTCACTGCAGTTAGCTAAAGCAGTAGAAAGACAAACTGGAGTAACCGTTTCCCGTGACACCATACGGCGCACACTGCAGAGGAGTGACATGCACGGGTATCGTCCACGAAGGAAGCCTCTCCTAAAGCTCATGCACAAAAAAGCACATCTTGCTAGCCTAGGACCCATGCTGGAAGAGATGAAGACTACTGGGACTCTGTAATCTGGAGTGATGCGACAAAGCTCACTGTTTTTGGAACTAATGATTTCAAAACTGCATGGCATTGTAAAGGTGAAGACTTCAAAGAGAAATGCATGGTGCCTACAGTGAAGTACGGTGGTGGCGGTGTCCTTACATGGGCTGCATGAGTGCTGCTGATGTTGGGGAGCTGCATTTCATTGATGGTATCATGAACTCAACAATGTTGCTCTATACTGACGAAGAAGATGCCACCATCAATCCGTGCACCTGGTCGTCGTGCACTTTTCCAACACGACAATGGTCCAAAACACACATCTAAAGCTACTGTTGCATTTCTGAAGAGTGAAGGTGATTGAATGGCCAAGTATGTCTCCTGATCCGAACCCAATCCAACATCAGTGGGGAATTCTGAAGCAGCAAACTGAGCATCACTCTCCATCCAGCATCCAGGCTCTAAAAGAGGTTCTTCTTGAAGAATGGAAAAAGATAGAAGTTGCAACATGTCGCCAACTTGTTCATTCCACGCCTAGAAGACTTGGTGCTGTCCTTGAAAATCACAGTGATCATACACAGTACTACATGTAGTTTTGGTTGTGGGGTGTTTTCATTTTTGCTTCAACCGATTTTAGTAAAACTGAAGATTTTGTGATCTAAGTTATATTGTTAACCTTAATGTCATGTCATGGAGTTAAACACGTGTTCAATAAAACCAGCCTTGTGCAAATTCTGGATGTCGTTGTTTTTTTCATTCAGCTGCTGATTAAATTTGTACTTTTTAAAGGGGGTGTACTCATTTATGCTGAGCACTGTATTGCCCCGTTTGGTCACATGGTGAAAAACGTTTTCTCCATATATTTGGAAATCAAGGTAGCTTCCTTTATTGTTTTTAGGTTCATGTGACACATAACTTTTCATCCAGTTAAATGTGAAATGGGAATAAGCCTGACCCAAAACCAATAGAGCATTCAAACGCATCCTTGACACTTGTTTTAACATCAGTTATGCAAATGTTGACAGGTTAACCTGCTGCCCCTCTGATATTTTACCCTTAGTGCCAAGATAATAAATTCCACTTCGTACCCTTGAAGGGTGTTTTTCCCTTCTCCCTCACATCCTTCCTGCCTTCTTTTTCCACCTGTGTGTTTAGTGTAAATTGTTGTCATGCTGCCCTTTGTTTCTGGGTAAATACAAGCCTAAGGGAGAAACCAGTTAAATGGGTTTCAATTTATTTAAGCTGACCAGAATAAAACTGGACAAAATGGCTTATTTTTTTTAAATATAAAGAACATTTTTGCTGCAGTTTACCAAATTCTTACTGTTCATTACAACCCACTGATATATTATTTTTCTTTTACTGATGATTAAAATAACACTTTATGCAGCATCAAGAGTGCAAAAACAGTCCAGTGAGTCGACATAATCGACGAGGTGGACCACCAACTTTTTAAACTTTCATTTACCATCTCATACTATTACAGCCTTTATTTAGCAGACACAAAATAAAACTGTTTTTCATCTAACAATAAATCATTCCTGTTTGTTTTCTTAATTGCTAAAATCATTCTGAACTAAGAAATCTGTAACATGTTCAAATGAAGGCATAAAGGACTTATTAGCTGATGAATGGTGGTAAATTGGCTTTTTCCCACTGCATTTCTGTGCAGCCTCTCTGAAGTTAATCCCCTATCTCCTTACTAAAGCTGCTCACATCCAGTCAGCATTATCTGTGTGTATATTGTAGGACACGGGGAGATTTTAGTGTTTTGTGTTAGGAAGGGGGACAGCATGGGAATGTGGCTTTCCAACGTTTAGAAAAATCAGTTAGCTATCCATCACACAAGGCTCAGGTTACACTAACATGCAGGTTCCACACTGCTGGTCACTGCTCTCCTGACAGGACTGTTTTCTGTCAGGATTTATGGTCTTACTTTCCCTTTCTCGTGTTTTCCCTGCTAATCAGGGTCAGGGTGCGGGTAAGTGGGTTCCATAAACCAAACAGTCCCCAAAAAATATGCACATGAAGCTGTAATCCTAAAACTTTTTATTAATATCAAAAACACGACATAACAGCATGAAGCACGCCTTACAAATTCATTAATGACATGGAAAGTTGAGCCAACAAACCAACAATCATGCATAACAAACCACAAAACATGAATTTATATACATTTACCACCTGTATATTACACTCCCAGACTGTAAAATAATCCCATTATTTTAATGTAGCACTACCATACCATGTATACTTTTTAGGTGTATACTTTATAGAGAAGTGGCCATGTTGACAACAACAGTGAAATTTAACTACCTCTGAATGTGCTGCCTGTGCGCTGAAAGGGCGATACCATCAATCACGCATAGCCGTGTGGTGTCAGCAGATGGCTCTTAGCTTCGGTTAATATTGAGTCAGATCTGATAGAGGCTAGCTTAAGTTGAAATAAAAGCTGACAAGGATCTGAAAGCGAGGCTAAAACAGTCTCAGTGGCTGCTGATCGGAGGCCTGACTCAGCGGTTTCTGTGGGAATTGGAGGAGCTTTACTCGACTGTCACACGCTACGGTGATCTCAACTGTCTCTGTCAGCGCAAACGTACTTTTTCCCCATCTTTGTGTATTGTCTTTCACAGCACAACACCTCTTAAAATAAAGTAACACCAGACATTAAATGTTTACTTTCAACAGTCTTTCTAAACATATCCCCTCTCCCCGTTTTTAGACCTCTGTGCCCTCTCGATGGTAGATGATTCCCGTAGAGCCGAGTGCAGGGTAGAAATGCCCACTGGAGCCACTGTACTGGCTCACGATGGGGCTTGAGTAACTTAGAGATGAATGGGTGGGTGAAGAGGAGTGCGCAGGTGGAGTCAGCATTTGTGGTACCCACTCCGGGACACCTGAGTTGGGGGAGTAGTTGCTGAAGCTTCCTGGCTGTGTGGATCTGTGAGGCCCATCTAAAGGAAGGTTGATCTGAAGCGGCCTGCTCAACCCATCACCTCCCACCTCATTTGATCCTCCTGTAGAAACTGTGGACATCTCAGACAAGAAGCTGCTGAGACACGGTGTGGAGCCTGACAGAGAGGGGGAGGGAATTCTGTCCGCTGTTGGAGACATGTTGAGGGCAGGGTGTTTGGGGCTGCCTCGCTCGCTGTCTCCTGACTCTGGAGCCCCCGAGCTGCCATCACCACCAGCGAGAGAATCAGACTTTCTTTTTCTTTTGCGGCGGAAGTTTCCGTTGTCGAACATCTTCTCGCAGTTAGGGTCAAGTGTCCAGTAGTTGCCTTTACCTATAGGGCGGGATTCAGATTAGATTTAGAATAAATTAAATCGCTTGCGCAAGCACTTGTTTGCTAAAGAGAATGAAAGAAACGCGCCACAACTTAAAAATCTAAATGTATTACCTGGATCATCCTCATCTCGTGGCACTTTCTTGAAGCAGTCATTGAGTGACAGGTTGTGTCTGATGGAGTTCTGCCAGCCCGCTTTGCTCTTGTTGTAGAAAGGGAAGTTATCGGCGACATACTGGTAAATCTGACTCAGGGTCAGTCTCTTGTCTGGTGCTCCGTGGATAGCCATGGCAATGAGAGCAGAGTAAGAATAAGGAGGCCTGACCAGCTTCATAAGATCTTCTTGTGAGGGGAGTGAGAACCAGCTCAGCTCTCCTCCTGGACCCCCAGGTCCAGCTGGACCCAGGTAAGGCCTCTGCATGCCATAGTGTTGAGGCACAAAGGGAGGGCCGGGGTTGCCGGGCGGGCCAGGAGAAGACAAATACGACGACGTGTTGATGCCAGAGCTGTTGAACCAAAGGTAAGGGTTTGGCGATGAGGTGGTGTAGTCGCTCAGGTCGTATGAGGTCGGAGTGGTACGCTGAGGACTCGGTAAGGAGGGAGGAGGGTAGTAGCAGTCACCGTACATGCTGAGCTCAGGGGGCTCCTGGCCCACGTTCGGAAACTGTGGGCCACACCGAGGAGGAGACTGGCCCTGGCTCTCAAAAGAAGACATCTCACCTCTCAGCCTCTTCTGAAGCGTTTGCTTCTGGTTGTCCTTCCTTTGGGTGATATTTAGCAGTGCACGAAAGGATTTCCCCCCACTCCTTATAACGCGTTTGATTTTCAGCTCATCCGAGCGATTCTCTCTGAACTTAAAAACCGTAGGCTACTCTTCTTGGCTTCTTTCTGGTCCGTTTGCCCTTGCTCTATGTCAAGATGTCACCTGTTACACCTGCTTTATCTACTCCCATGGGAACGCCCCTTGTCAAATTTGATTGGCTGTTTTCTCAGGTGAGACATCTTTCCATTTCTTTCTCCTTTTTTCCTGTTGTCAGCTAGTTCAGTCCCCTGGAGGGTTTTATTCTCTGTCATATAAATAATTTTCCATTCAAGCCATTAGTCAGTCACTATTGTAGCTTAGCCATCTGTAAATTTCATTTTAATTTTTGTAATGTCATTAATTATGGAGTTAAACTAAATATATTTATGCAGAGAATTAAAACTTTATCTTACAAAACAAAATGGCTATTTGTGTCATTTTATTTGTTTAATCTTTAATTTAAAAAACATTTGATAACATGTTATTTTGTGCCATTTCACAGGTAACAGGTTACAGATAGTGGCGATGAACTAATCACAAGAAACAGTAAAATGTAATAGTCAGAAATATCACTTCTGATGGCAAATAAGCTGAAGACAACCATCACATCAAATATTTAGATTCAAATTTAACCGTATACTTAAAAAAATCCTCAATATTCCAGCTGGTAGATTCTTGAATTGTAGTTTGACAATGTTTAAAAGTGTCTAAAAATTGTGAATCCACTCAAGCGACTAATTTAAACATAATCAAAATAATTTCACTCCGTTTTTATTTATTTTAAGTTACACAACTTGTCCATATTTTTCTTCATTAAACGGACTGTGTAACTTAGGTCCGAGATAGGAATACAGAGGCAGAGTGAAGGGTTAAACCGGTGTTTTTAATGATATCAGCCTGATATATCTTGCCCCCAAAACATATTAATGTTCAACCCAACAGTTAATTTTTGCTTCCCTCAAAACAAACTCACTGGTTTAATTTCATGACTATGGATTAGACGTATACAATCAAAATATATTTAAAAAAGGAAGAAAAACGTACATAAAATATTTTATCTAGCAGTTTTCTCATTTTTGTCACTATTTATGTTTTTTATAAATTAATTTATGAGGGAAGCCAACAAACCAAGAAATGAGTTTGAACATCATCTAACCGATGATAACAGAACTCGTACGTGTTTTAGAGCAGAACTCTGGTGTTAGCGCGCGCGTGGTGTTCTCTCCTCTTCAGGACCGATGAGAGCTTCTCCAGGGAGCCTGAACGAGCGCGCGCTCCGTTTGAACCGAGCTTGAACGTTCCTTCTCAGAAACCAGTCAACTTTTCTCATGGTGAGTGCTCAACCGTGGCTACATTTGAACATTTATTGACTTAAATGAAGCGCCTTATCCGGATGTCCGTCTCCCCACCTCCTTCCGAACACACTCGGTAAACAATGGCGTTTCCGGTCATCAAAACCTAACCGTTTTTAGTGTGGGGTTCCCAAGCTAGCATGCTTGCTAACCCCAACCTTTAACCCTTACCTCACATTAGAGCATTTTTTTGTGCTGACACGTGTATTTTTGTGAATAACTTTGGCTATGTTAATGCAATTTATCTAATTTTTATGGAGGATGTGTATTTTGGAAGGAATTACAAAAAAAAGTTTGAAAAAATATTCAACCTACTTTATTAAAACGTGGAAATCATTTTGTACAGTTAAGCACATTGAAGCATTTTTTTGTGCCATTGACTTTCATGTAAATCATATATTTTTAATTAGCATAAATATTGGCATAATTTTAAAAAATTATGATTGTGCCCGTGTTTACAGTCTCATCACAAATGTAAGAAGCAGTTTTTACTGTTTTTCACTACATGGCATACTTTCTCCATATATAGCAGGGCAATGGCTGACCCAGCATTTAAACTGAATGATTTAGCTGTATTTCTTTACCTCTGACTGCCCATTATAATACATATTTTGCAAAAAAATGGTTTGTGTGTTATTTAGAGATGCCATACAATAGTTTGCATGTGTGTGTTCTGAATTTTTGGTAATTGTGCTTTTTCAGTGTTCTTTCAAAAAATAAGCCTGACTGAATGTACAAAATTAGCTTATTCTGCAAAATAGCATTTTGACATGTGTTCCTTTGTGTGTGATTGTTCAGGCATGCGTGTATGTAGGTATCAAAGCACTTTACAGATCTTCAAAGGACAGATCTGTGATCATTATCTGGAGTGGTTGAGCAGGTGTGGGCCATGGGAGTGTAGGGGGGGGGGCACAGGTTCTCACACTCTGTTGACTTCATGAATATTCATCAAAGGCATGCTATATATCAAAAATCAAAGGATTTTCTGCTAAATTTCAGATACTCATTCACAATTTTACTTTTGCAAAATGTTATTTCAATAAGTACAAAGCATTTGCATGGATGAAAGCTAAGATGAAGGCTGAAAAACTTCAAAGGCATACATTTGTTTTTCAAAACAAATTCCTGCAGAATCGAATTTTGTTTACATTCAGTAGGGGCAGCTTACACAGGTGCACCAATTGACTAAAAGTACATATATGAGACTCAGATCAGGATTCATTTCTTTGAACCGCAACCATGAGAAGAAGATTCAATGTGAATGAAGCCCTGGAGGTGTTTCAGCAGCTTGAGGAAGAGGGAGAGTCAGCCTCATCCTCATCCACGGATGACAGCTCTTGTTCGGATGAAGAGGCTGAAGATCAGGCCTTTACCCCAGGGCCTGATTCAGGGGAAGAAATGGAAGAAGGTTCAGATGAGGAGGTGGTTGCTGCAGAGGAGAGATGGGACCATCCTTTGTGGCAATCAAAGAGCGGGATCGCCTGGTCCCCGACACCCGACACCAGGATCCCCTTTCGGGCTCCAGACGTCCGCCATTGTGGGATCACCCGCCTCGCTGTCAGCTACATCCAAACTATTGAGGACAGCTTCGATTTTTTTTAACTACAACAATCCTAGATGTAATAATAAAATACACCAATATAGAGGGAAGAAGAAAATATGACGATTGGACAGACGTTGACCGCGTGGAACTCCGGGCATTGTTTGGGTTGCTCATCCTCGCTGGTGTGCACCGTTCCCATGGGGAATCATCTGCCAGCCTCTGGGGGGAGGAAACGGGGAGGCCGATATTCAGAGCCACGATGAGTTTGGGAAGGTTCCACATGCTGACTGCAACATTGCGCTTTGATGACCGCTTGACCAGGGCAGCCCGCCGGTTGGTGCAGCAGGACAAGCTCGCTCCCCTGCGGGAAGTGTGGGACCTCTGGGCGGCCCGGCTCCCTCTCGCCTACAACCCCGGTGAAGATGTCTGCGTTGATGAACAGCTCGTCGGATTCAGAGGTCGCTGCAACTTCAAGCAGTACATGCCCTCAAAACCGGCAAAATATGGCATCAAGCTGTGGGTGGTGTGCGATGTGGCCACTTCTTATGCCTGGGGGATTATTCCCTATCTGGGCAAGACGACTCGAGACGCCCCGGCAGAAAGGGGGCAAGGGAAGCGGGTGGTGCTGGAACTCACGGAGGGTCTGAGCGGCCGCACTGTCACCACGGACAATTTTTTCACCTCGCTGGTTCTTGGAGAGGAGCTGCTAAAAAAAAAATCTGTCTTGTGGGAACAGTTAGGCGCAACAAGCCAGAGTTGCCCCCACAGCTGCTCCAGATGAAAAGCAGAGCGGTTCTGTCCTCCCTGTTCGGCTTCACCTCCACCGCCACCGCGGTGAGCTACATTCCAAAGCGCCGGCGGAACGTTCTGCTCCTCGGCACCAAACACCATCAGGTTCAGATCCAGGAGGGACCGCAGCAGAAGCCGACCGTAATCATCGATTACAACCGCTGCAAAGGGGCAGTTGACAACTTGGACAAGGTAATTTATTTATTTTATTTTGTTTTATTATAATTCACCAACCTAATTGCATATGTAATTTATTTATTCATTTATTTTTATTCCAGCTCGTTGCAACATACAGCTGCCGCCGCAAGACCAGACGTTGGCCCATGTCGCTCTTCTGCAACATGTTAGATGTGAGCGCCTACAATGCCCTGGTCCTGTGGCTGTCTGTGGAACCGGCCTGGAACCAACAGAAGAGGAGCATCCGTCGAAGGCTGTTCTTGCAGGAGCTTGGGACCTCCATGGTGAGACCAGCCCAGGCGAGGCGCACTCGCTTGCCGCGGTCCAGCAGCGCTGCAGCTCTGTTGGAGGTGCAGCAGCAAGTGGAGCCAGGTCCAGCCCAGGAGCAGACAAAGAAAAGATGCCACCTTTGCAGAGGGAAGAGGAGCGTTCATGCACGCTTTTGCCATGCATGTGGACAGGCTGTGTGCAAGGAGCACTCAACAGTTGTGTGCTCAGCCTGCAGCTGTTAGCTCACTCCCCTCTGTGTTTCTCTCTCTTCTCTCTCTCTCTCTCTCTCTCTCTCTCTCTCTCTCTCTCTCTCTCTCTCTCTCTCTCACACACACACACACACACACACACACACACACACACACTTTTTCTTTGTTCGTGTGCTTTAATAAAGTGTTCAACTGGTCATCTTTGTAAGTGCATTTTTTTTGTGCTCTAATGACTTTAACGTGAGTATTTTAGAAAATATGACATTACACAAAAACTACAAAGTGAGCAAAAAATATTTTTATGCCTATTTGTGACACTCCAAGGCTGTGACAACTTACCCACAAAAAAGGTCATCTGGACATAACACACAAAAAATGATTTGATTTTTTCATTTTTTGTACAGTTTTCAAACTTTGGGTTTTGCTAATAAACCTGGCAATAAAGGGGTTAAATCTGAGAAACACACACATATTTTATTATATTTTGTTAGGGCTGAAGCCAAGGATGAAATTCATGTAAAAAAATTGGGACTTATGAAATATTATATAATATTTCTATGGGAAGCTTTCTAAGTGCATTTTTTTGTGCTCTAATGACTTTAACGTGAGTATTTTAGAAAATATGACATTACACAAAAACTACAAAGTGAACAAAAAATATTTTTATGCCTATTTGTGACACTCCAAGGCTGTGACAACTTACCCACAAAAACGGTAATCTGGACATAACACACAAAAAATGATTTGATTTTTTCATTTTTTGTACAGTTTTCAAACTTCGGGTTTTGCTAATAAACCTGGCAATGAAGGGGTTAAATCTGAGAAACACACACATATTTTATTATATTTTGTTAGGGCTGAAGCCAAGGATGAAATTCATGTAAAAAAATTGGGACTTATGAAATATTATATAATATTTCTATGGGAAGCTTTCTAAGTGCATTTTTTTGTGCTCTAATGACTTTAACGTGAGTATTTTAGAAAATGTGACATTACACAAAAACTACAAAGTGAGCAAAAAATATTTTTATGCCTATTTGTGACACTCCAAGGCTGTGACAACTTACCCACAAAAAAGTTAATCTGGACATAACACACAAAAAATGATTTGATTTTTTCATTTTTTGTACAGTTTTCAAACTTTGGGTTTTGCTAATAAACCTAGCAATGAAGGGGTTAAATCTGAGAAACACACACATATTTTATTATATTTTGTTAGGGCTGAAGCCAAGGATGAAATTCATGTAAAAAAATTGGGACTTATGAAATATTATATAATATTTCTATGGGAAGCTTTCTAAGTGCATTTTTTTGTGCTCTAATGACTTTAACGTGAGTATTTTAGAAAATGTGACATTACACAAAAACTACAAAGTGAGCAAAAAATATTTTTATGCCTATTTGTGACACTCCAAGGCTGTGACAACTTACCCACAAAAAAGTTAATCTGGACATAACACACAAAAAATGATTTGATTTTTTCATTTTTTGTACAGTTTTCAAACTTCGGGTTTTGCTAATAAACCTGGCAATGAAGGGGTTAAATCTGAGAAACACACACATATTTTATTATATTTTGTTAGGGCTGAAGCCAAGGATGAAATTCATGTAAAAAAATTGGGACTTATGAAATATTATATAATATTTCTAAAGGAAGCTTTCTAAGTGCATTTTTTTGTGCTCTAATGACTTTAACGTGAGTATTTTAGAAAATGTGACATTACACAAAAACTACAAAGTGAGCAAAAAATATTTTTATGCCTATTTGTGACACTCCAAGGCTGTGACAACTTACCCACAAAAAAGTTAATCTGGACATAACACACAAAAAATGATTTGATTTTTTCATTTTTTGTACAGTTTTCAAACTTCGGGTTTTGCTAATAAACCTGGCAATGAAGGGGTTAAATCTGAGAAACACACACATATTTTATTATATTTTGTTAGGGCTGAAGCCAAGGATGAAATTCATGTAAAAAAATTGGGACTTATGAAATATTATATAATATTTCTAAAGGAAGCTTTCTAAGTGCATTTTTTTGTGCTCTAATGACTTTAACGTTAGAAAATTTAAACGTTGGGTAAGGGTTAAACTTGGTGGCCGGTTCCGGTGAAAGCGCGAGCCTTCTTGGCTCTAGTGAAGTTGTGTTTACAGAAACGTTGTTTGTGGGGTTAAGACCACGGTACCTGTCTAACTAGATAACAGACTCGCCTCCGGACGTGCAGCTGTCGCGGAGCAGCGACGCCGACATGTTGGAGCTGAACACGGAGCTGGAGAGGATGGCTGATGCTGTTGAGAACCAAACAGGTGGGTGAACGTGTCGCTGTTTACTGATGTGGTGTTGACCTCACGTTGCCGTGTTTGTTAAAAACAATCACGTTTAAAATCCTCGTCCACCTGCAGTGCAGGTGACGTGGATGGCCCACGACATGGTGGTGCTGCGGACCAGCCCCGAGGTGGTGGACTCCATGCAGGAGCTGCAGGAGGCTTATCTCCGGTGCAAGTCGGCTGTGTACGGAGAGCCGGAGTCCGGAGCTGCCTGATGCCACAGCGTTTAATCAAAGATGATGTGTTCCCGGAGCTTTCTGTAGTTGCATCCATGTCTGCGTTCAGGAGCAACTTCCTAAACCGGTTTGGATCTGGTTATCAGGCGCCGGCAGCAAAATAACAAGCAAAAAATAAAAATGCACATCTTATTTAGATATGTATTTTGAATCAGATCTACAAATGTAACACTAAGATTAGATCTAAATGTTTTGAACCGAATATATTTAGCTGTAGAGGATGTACACTCAGGCTGCTGTAAAATACAGCACAGCAACATTTAGTGCAGGCTGAAGAGATTTCCTTGGTAACGAGTCCCTTTAATTTTGTGAATCGGTTTTTTTAGGAGCTTTTGTGACATTTGATTTCTTCACCCTGCTTTATTTTGGTGTGTTGCTTTTGTTTTAGGTCGGTCTTGACATGTATGTCTGCTAAATAGCTTGAAACCCCTAATATTCATATTCAAGTGTATTCTGCGTTTTGATTTAATGTTATATACTTGGATCTAATTCAAAATATGCAGATTGAACTTTATTTGGAGTTGGCCAGATGTAGCATTTATTTAAGTTGCAGGAGTTGAATCAGGCCGCCAGCCTGTTTCCTGGTCTCTAGGTGTAATTTTAGCCTTTGTGTCTTTTCTTTTCATTTTTCTGAAATGTTAAATAAAAAATAGAAGAAGAAGAACATTGTCATTTTTTATGAACATCGACTTCAGAGACTTGCATCTTTTATTGCTTCGACCCAATTCTGTCATTGCTTTTATGTATATTGCACAAGCACACTTTACTCTTGAATGAAACTCCTGACAGATTTAATGCTATTCGGAACAAATTGCACAAACATTTAATTATTTTTCAGATGGAAACCGCAAAGAGTGCAGCAGCACACGCCGCAGACACTTCCTGCATTGATCTGGAAAACATCCTGAGAGGGCTGGACTCGTTGTCCGACAGCATGGATCAGCTGGCGTGTGCGTTTGATCCATCTCCACACATTCACCTTACACACCAAGATGTCTGAAAGCATCTGCCCTGTGTTTGGAACAGGATACCTAAAGTGGATTATTACTTACGCCCAGCTTAGCCTTGCCAGTAGATGTCAGCGGTCCAGATTTACGTGATGCTACTGATGGATTTCACACCGATGGTTGTCTGCTAGCGATTCTGATGTGAAGCAGAGTGTTGAAATGTATTCTGCCACAGGGGACATGTGGGTAAAGAGGGAGCTGGAGTGAGTCTGCAGACCTGTTGCAGTCAGTTCCATTATATTAATCTGCTCTGGAAACCAGCGTCTCAGCTTTGATATCAGAATGACACACAGTGCATGGCAGGGTTTGTTTTTTCCTGATGTCAATTTTAACGTGCAAAAGCAGCCAAACGATATTGTTTGCATTCATTTTCCTTCAACAGTAAATATCCACTAAATATTTGCTGTTTACATTTAGTTTTCCCAGTTGAATTGGATTTTAGAGCCACATTGTGTAGGTCACGCTGAACTGGCTGCTCACGGGGATCTTTTATTCTAACAGCAGCTGTTTGTGGGAGTTCATGAGACTGTTATGTGCAATAGGTGATGTTGACATAAAAATATCAACAATCATGTACAGTCCAGTCAGTTGGAGTCATGCTGAAGGACAGGCAAGCTCTTTTATTGCTTTTTGCACTCTGCCTGTTTGATTTTTGTAGTAACAACAGTTGTTGTGGACCTGGGGCAACTGTGATAGGAGGTATGCCTTCTCCGTTGGCAGTGAGAACCCATCTGAAGCAATGCGACCTGATCCTCTGCGTTGGCCACCCTGACAGGCTGGCATTCCTCAAAAAACTCCCTGAAGCCGCAGCGCCGCATTTGAACTGAAACTGAAGCATCAGGAGCAGAGAGAGGTAAGGTTGTATTCCTGAAGTTCGTGGTTTAGAAACACGGGGAAATTAAATCTTTTTTTATTTTGGTTCTATTTACTAAAAATAGTGAAAGCAGAGGAATGACATAACGGTGACCTTTTTGTGTTTGTGGAGATTGTGACATTTGTGCTTTAAACACACCTAAACAAGCCACACATCCATAAATTATCACAAAGAACAAAGAGACAGCTGTGGAACCGGGTTCTGGTGCTGGTCAGAGCCCTGCAGAGTGCCGGTCTTTGGCATCAGTGAGCAACAGCGGGTTGCTGGTGTGATGGATAATCATCTCCTTCAACCCAGGGAAACTCTAAAACACAACAGCACATGCTGAAAACCACAAGGGCCTAATGAGGCAGAGCAGCACAAGTTGGCATCAAACAAACCCCAGGGTGTGCCTAAGAGGAGAACTTTTCTCTTCAATCTGAGCAAACACACCGAGTTTTATTCAGTTATCATCTGTCTTCATTCACCTCGGTTTTGTTTAGGCCGATGCCAAGCAGGTAAGAGTTGCCTAGGTGACGGATCCTGATGTTGTAAATCTTTCCTTGATGCAGCGACATCAGGGTGTAGGGGTGCTCAGACGATGTCTTGGAGCTGTCCCTCACCAAGAACGCCCCATCCTTCAAGAAGAAAAGACGAAGCCTTCGTGTTCATATTTGCATTTCTTTACGTCTGATCCTTTATTCCAGGGAGACGCGACATCTGACCTTGCTCACCGCTCTGAGGACCGCTTCAGCCTGACGTCGGGTCAGCTGTGCTCCATACCAGCTGGGATCCAAACACTGGGCTCACCAGGATAGGGGAAAAAATACAGTAATGTAAAAAGTAATGTTGTGGAACGTAGCTCAGGTGAGCTAATAAACAAGCTTGTTGACCAGGTCCTGTTGTGTTTGTAGTGCAACATCACCATCTGCTGTCGTGACTCTGTACGCACATATAGTGCAAACTAGCAACTACTTCCATGAATAAGTGCTCATCAGATATTGGGTGTGACCTTAAATTCACACGTAGTTTCACCTTTGCTGGAGTTTGTGTTGGTTTGTTTAACTTAGCAGGTTGAGATGGGACAGGAGGAGCTGGCTCTAGGAAAAGAGGTAAACAGATATTTACATTCAATAAGGACTAGGTAAATAAACCAGTCAGCTGATGATGAGGAGGTTACATTTTATTCAGAAAGGTAGATGAAGGCTCCAGGCTGAGACGATGTCCTCAGGGATGGATCACTGCTGCCCTCTTGTGGACATATTGATTGTTGGCCGTGTTTGTATCCCAATGGCACAAAATAAAAAGGAATGATTCATTGTTAAAAGTTTGTGTGTAAAGGGCAAAGGTGCCCTGGCTGTGTACGTTTTATACATTAGCGGCGGAAGCTAGTATTTGGAATAAGTGATTTTATTAGAGATAAAATCATTTAGTGTTCCAAATTAAAAGATGAACACATTTGTAAAGTCAGAAAACATACTTTCACCGGAGGATTTGTAAGATCTTTGAGGAGAAAGTGTCCTTGTTGGGTTTTAGTAAACAGCATTACTGTTTTACTTCAGTATGAAACAATAACAGCCTATATCCCATCTGCACAGCTCTGAACAGGAAAATCAGTCACGTTTTTGTTTTCATCTTAATTTCTGTGTGCACGGTGACTCGTCTGAGTGTTTCTGTTACCTCTGGGACCATCAGGAGCTCACGGTGGAGGCTGTTTCTGCAGCTTTGGTGAGAGAGGACATCCTGACTGTGGTTCAGCAAAAGTTGGCCTAAAGACGTCATTTTCCTCACTGGCTTTCTCCTCAGGCCACATGTATTCATTATCACCTCCACTGTTCTGAGCAACAGCATAATGTTATCCATAAATCAGATCTGTTTCTACAACGAAATCAGTTCAAATGAACACGTAGCTTCATACTCACATACTCATCTGAGTCCCAGACCTCTTCGTCCTGCACGTATACTGAAGGCAAATGCAGAAACATCACATGGGTCTCAGGATATAGTTTTTTATTTCAGGGGCAGAGAGGAGAACGTGTGTTGGTTACCTTTTGTGCAGCAATTCTGAGTCTTTGATCTGCACGTTTAAATAAAGAAGAGTACATGTTTTGTGGTCAGCTGCACTTTCAGATGGCACTAAACACAAACAAACAAACACACAAACAAACTGTGTTTACACACCTTGGGCTGATGGCCTTTCTCTGCTCTCCCATGGTGATCCTCCGCTGGATATTTGCAAGTATTCTGTTAAAATTTGAAATAGTTTATAGGAGATGACACTACATCTACAATACTCATTCGTGGTTCATAGAAGTGTGTGTTACTCAAACTCACGGAATATGCTGGCTGGGGGACACTTCAAGTTGAGAATGCATCATATACTAGCGGAAATTAGGAGGAAAATTTCAAATAACTTACAAATTGTATTTTTTTTCTTCTACAGTTTATTTCAAACAAAATTAGGGCTGGTGAAAAAAATATGCCTACAATGTTAAAGATACCAAGAACTGGGATCCAGTTATACTACCCTTCAACACCGCGCAGTCACAGCTGGATAGGTTGAGCTGAGAAAATCAGAGAAAACAGAGGAGGCTTCATATAACTTTACAGCAGTAGAAATTTCTATTTCAAACCGTCTCAAAATAACATTTATTCTGTTACTGAGTGTACCTGATCAGTGCTGTTAAACAATTACAGACAATACATTACAAACTTTGTCTAATAACATCAAAATTATGTTTAAATTTACCTGATGATAGCATAAATGAGTACAATGAAATGCGCATTTCAAGCATCTGCAAAATTGCTTATTGAGTCATGTATATTCAAGTTTGATAAGAAAACAGGACCAGATGACAGGCTTTTGAAAAGCGGTCAACTACAGTGAGTATGATAGTGAAGCCCTTAGAGGGAGGTAGACCAGTCACAAAATCTAGGGCTATGTGAGACCAGGGGCGAGGAGGTACCGGCAAGGGTTGGAGAAAACCTTGAGGGGCTTGGTTGCTACTTTTCGACATGGCACAGACTTGACAGGCGCTAATGTATTCCTTCACATCTTTATACATTGAAGGCCACCAAAAGTTTCTACGAATGAATGCTAAGGTTCTGCCAAGGCCGGGGTGAATGGAAAATCTAGCAGTGTGTGCCCAGTGGATTAGGGAGCCGTGAGTGCTGGAAGGAACATATGTTTTATGTGGGGGACTGGTACCTGGGTCTGGTTCCAAACGTTGGGCTTCCAGTACCTTATTGGTGATGTCCCAAGCTATAGAGCCGACAATGCAGAAGGCTGGTAGGATGGTAGTGGGTTTGGTGTCTTTGTCAGAAGCATACTGCATCGGGTTTGGCATTCTTGGAGCCAGGTCTGAAAGAGATAACAAAGGTGAATCGGGAGAAAAATAACAACCAGCGGGACTGACGAGGATTTAGTCTTTTAGCCTCCTTTAAATATGCGAGATTCTTGTGATCTGTCCAGATTACTATTGGAAGTTCTGCACCCTCCAGCCAGTGACGTCACTCCTCCAAAGCCAGCTTGATGTCCAGAAGTTCCCGGTCTCCCACGTCGTAATTCTGCTCTGCAGACGAAAGACGACGGGAGAAAAAGGTGCATGGATGGAGGCGGTGATCTGTGGGGGAGACTTGGGAGAGTACAGCACCCACTCCAGTATCGGATGCGTCAACCTCTAGGGTGAACTGCAGAGAGGTGTCTGGGCGTGTGAGAATGGGTGCCTGGGTGAAACTGGTCTTGAGGGTGTGGTCGGCCTCTGGGGACCACAGAAACAGAACCTTGACTAAGGTGAGTCGAGTGAGGGGTGTGGCTATCTGACTGTAGTTCCTGATAAAACATCGATAGAAATTTGCAAAACCCAAAAACCTTTGAAGTTGCTTACATATTTCAGGGGTTGGCCATGTCCGAACTGCCTCGATCTTATCAGGGTCTGTCTTCAGCCGACCACTCTCCAGGACAAAGCCTAAGAACTTGACGGACGAGATGTGAAACTCAAATTTTTTGGCTTTGACATACTGGCGATTTTCGAGGAGTCGTTGAAGCACAGCTCGGACATGTTGGCGGTGTTCTGTGAGGGACCTGGAAAAAATCAATATATCATCCAAATAAACCGTGACAAATTTGTTTCTGTAGTCACCCAGGACAGAGTTCACCAGAGACTGGAAGACTGCGGGGGCATTAGTGAGTCCAAACGGCATGACCAGGTATTCGTAATGTCCAAGAGGGGTCTTGAAAGCCGTTTTCCATTTGTCCCCGTCCCGGATTCTCACGAGGTGGTAAGCGTTGCGCAGGTCCAACTTGGTAAAGACAGGCATTGTTAACAGGGTCGAAAGTAGAGGAAAGCAGAGGTAGAGGGTACTTGTTTTTGATAGTGATCTGGTTCAGTCCTCGATAGCCGATATAGGGAGACAGGGATCCATCCTTCTTTGACACAAAAAAGAACCCCGCACCCAGGGGGGACGTGGAAGGCCTTATAATACCTGCAGACAGGGACTCAGAAATGTATTTAGCATACTTTCTTGTTCTGGTTTGAACAGGTTGTATAGGCGGCTTGAGGGTAAAACTGCATCAGGAACAAGATCGATTCAACATTCATAAGGTCGGTGAAGAGGCAATGAGGACGCACGGTCCTTGCTAAATACCTGCTGGAGGTCACGGTACTCTGAGGGGACTTCCATCAAATTGGGTGGCTCTTGTGTCTGACTCCTGGGTTCTCCGACGGGAAGTGGAGCTGAGAGGAGGCAGTGGGACAAGCAAAAGGGGCTCCAGGCAGCGATCGACCCTGTCCTCCAATCAAGGTGGGGATTATGATTGACCAACCATTCATGGCCCAGGACTGCAGGAGACTGTGGAGAAGGAAACACGAAAAAACTCAACACTTCATGGCGATTTCCAGAAACCAACAGATGTACCGGAACTGTACGATGGGTTATGGTGGTGAGCGAGCTCCCGTCCAGTGAGGAGGCCTTTATAGGTGAAGAGAGTAGGACAGTGGAGATGTTGAGTTGCTGTACCACCGTTAGATCCAAAATGTTCCTCTCACAGCCTGAGTCCAACAAGGCATCTGCAGAAAAAGTCTTTTGGTTGAAGGTGACCGAGCAGGATAAAGCACATTGGGAGTTTGGGCTACTTGCATTTCCACCCACCAGTAATCCCAGTTCTACTGGTGGGCGGTGGCTTTTGGCCGAACCGGACAGGTCGGGACAAAATGGCCAGACTGACCACAATACAGACACAAACCAGAGGAGCGACGTCTCTGCTTCTCCTCAGGAGACAGTTGGGCTCTTCCGATCTGCATCGGTTCCTCTGGTCCTGTAGGATGGGAGGCTTGTTGTGGTGTTTGGTTGACACGTTGATGTTGAACTGTAACCGGCGGAGGTCTGAACAAGTTGGTTCTATGTCTTTCCTTAAGACGCTTCTTGATGTTGTGGCCAGGATGATAAGGGCCTCAAGGTTCTCTGGTTCCAGACAATAGGCTAACTGATCCTTGATGCGCTCGGTTAAGGCCTGAGAGAAGGCGGCTTTAAGGGAGGCCTCGTCTAGGGTGGAAACTGAAGCGAGGGTTCGGAATTCAATAGCAAATTCTGTAACTGTTTGTTTACCCTGTTGCAGGTTCCAGATATGTTTTGCTAACTCTGCCGGGGATTCAGTGAAATCGAACAGCTGCTTCAACTCGCTTAAAAAATCTGAGAGGGAGCCGCGTAGGAAGTTGGGCTGGCGGCTCTTGGCCTCAGCCCACTGCAAGGCCTTACCCCTGAGCAAGCCAACAATAAACAAAATTTTAACCGTATCGTTAATAAAAGTCTCTGGGGAGTCTCTGACATAATAATAAAAAACTACTGCATTTACCTGGTTCGCTGGAAAAGGTGTTGGGTTGTGGAGATTCGGCGACCCGGAAGCCAAACCCAGGCGGAGGAACCGGAAGTGATGACTGTGATGGGGCTGCGGAAGTAGCGGTAGACGGAGGTGTAGTTCTGAACGCGTCATTCATCTGGCGAAGCGTGGAGTCAAGCTGGAACAGGCACCGATTAGTGGAGGACAATTGGTCAAGGACGCTTGTATGGATCTCTCATGTTTGGCTAGATTGTTAGTGACGGCTGGCAGAAATGATTCGTCCATGGGGTGGACTTTTGGCCAGTTGATTCTGTCATGTTGGGAATATGTTTTACCCAGGACATGAAAGAATCACAGACGGAAACGAAGGTAAGTAAATAACAAATAATATTTATTAAGAACGGTGTGTAACTGAAAACGCTGCTCCAAACGGGAACTGGAGGGACCTTGATCTAGAACGGGAAAGCAAACTGGTGTTAGAATCACGAAACCCTGGAACCAAAGAACCAGAACTGGAATTGTTTGGAGAGCTATTCTTACTGGAGATGATTGGTCTTGGTGAGGCAGGGCTGGGTCTTTGGTGCCAGGTGGGGACAAACAAGCAGCAGAGAACGAGGATCCAGGACGGGATGAGGAAACAGGTTGCGAGGCAGACAGTGAGGCAGGTTATGATGCAGGTCCGGAGGCTGGTGGTTAGGCAGGCTGGGAAGTGGACAGGAAGACAGGTGGGCGGCGGAGAGTAAGGAGACCAGGGGGGCGGTGAGCGACGTGATGTTGGAACAACAACTCCAGACGGCGGTGGGTGATTCCTGAGAACAGACGAGCAGGAACCTTCAGGACTCTGTAGATCGGGGCTGACTGGAACGGGCAGACAAGATTAAAACAGAACATCAAATGAGACTGCGACTGGCTTGTGTTTACCCAAGATGCGAGTATCAACCAGCACTGGAGTTGTGTCACACCGCTCCTTTAGTACCCCTGGCCAACCGAGAGACATAGTCCCTCTGTTGTGTCCATGGTCTTCCTTCAGGTCTCCTACTTTGTTGCCTGGAAAACCTCACCAGGGAGGCGTCCAGGAGGCATGTATAAATGGTATATGGCCTGTATTTGATATAGCGCCTTCTAGAGTCATGGAACCCCTCAAGGTGCTTTACAACACAATCAGTCATTCACCCATTCACACACACATTCACACACTGGTGGTGATGAGCTACGATGTAACCACAGCTGCCTTGGGGCGCACTGACAGAGGCGAGGCTGCCGAGCACTGGCGCCACCAGTCCCTCCGACCACCACCAGCAGGCAACGTGGGTTAAGTGTCTTGCCCAAGGACACAATGACAGTGACAGTGAGCGGGGCTCGAACCTGCAACCTTCCGATTACGGGGCGAGCACTTAACTCCTGTGCCACCGTCGCCCCGTCTCAACTGGCTTCTCTTGATGCAGAGGAGTACACCGAGTTCCTCCCGGATGACTGAGCTATCCGGCTCAGCTCTCTTTTCACCACGACAGACCGGTACAACACTTGCACCATTGCAGACACAACATCAATCAGCCTATCGATCCCTCTTTCCCTCATTTAAGACCCCAAGTACTTAAACTCCTCCACTTGGGGCAGGGCCTCGTCCCTAACCTGGAGAAGGCATTCCCTTTTCTGTCTCAAGAGCGGTCTCAGATTTATAAGAGCCATTATCATTACACATCTGATGAACGTGATGCTTTTCTTCTTTAAATTGTTCATTTTCTTGATTAGGCACAACTTCCTAAAAGAATGTCTTCTGCTACTACAAATAAAAAAATATGAGACAGTCTTACAAAGTTCAGATAATGAAGAGCTAAACGTTTAATTGAGTCTTCAGAAATGAGCTCACCTGCCTCATGTAGTCAGCTAGAGCTTTTGGGTTCCACCCCATCACCTCTTCTCTAGAAGGAGCTGCCATCGAGTCCATGCTTGCTTCTTGTTGCAGATTAAAACAAATCTAACAGTCTCAGTTGGCCTTTACTTACTAAAGGAAACGCTACAAGTGGGACACTTGTTATATGTCATCTTCTCACCGACTGGTTAAAAATAGAACGTTTCAGAGGCTATTGCTGGAGCTGTTGCTGCTAACAAAAACACTGCTGATTTCCTTTCATACCACAGCATGAACCTGTGTACAGCTCGTCTGGGTTTCACGAGTCAATATCCATTCAGTTTATAATCTAAAGTTTTACTCATCAAAATGATCTTTATGAATCCACAATGGTCCTTGTTGTTTCCTACATTTTGTTTAAACAGTCTAAAATAGGCAATATGAATGAAGATCTGAGTAAAAACTTTGTGCCGTGGGATTCTTTAGCTTGAAAAAGCAGTTTAACAGCAAAAACATGAATCACATGTCTTCTGTGAGTTTGACATCATCGAGGAAGAGTTTTGACCCACTTTTCAATGATGCTTTAGTTTATTGAGCTTTGTACATTAGCTCTCCTTAGGTTCTGCCACAGCATTTTAACCTCAGCTTGAGGTCAGACGGAGCCATTGCAACACCTTGTTTCATTTCCTTTCAAGGCACTTGCTGCTTTGTCTTGTTTCAGCTTTTCCACACAGGTTCAATAGGATTCTAGAGGACCATGTAAGGACAGTCCTGCTGTTTTTTCAGCCATTCTCAGGTATTTAGCTCATGTTGCTGGAAGACCCATGACCTCCTGCTGAGGCTGAGCTTTCTCTGCTATGTGTTTCACTCTAGGATGCCCTCAACAAGCCCTGCTCCTGATGCAGAAAACCAGCTCCAAGACGAACCTGAGCCCAGGTTTCTCTTCTCTCTGAACATAGAGCTGACGTGAATTGCAGTAAAGCCAGAGAGTTGACTCATCAGCCTTGATGCAACTTGTTGAAACCCTGACGAGATTTATTGTTGTTCTGAATTGAGTGTGTCCCTTCCAGGGCTTATTGTGGAGCCCATTATGGTTCAAAATGCAATGGATTGTCCAATCAGAGGGAGATATATGACTTTGGCAGTGGCGCCCCCAGGGGGTGGCCAGGGGTAGCCATGGCCACCCCTAAAAAATTGCTGGCTGCCACACTGTCCACACACAGTGAAGACCAGGATTCTTTAATAAGTCATATTAATGTTGTTTTCTTTAGTGATAATTAATAAATGAGCATTTATTGCATCACTACAGGCTAAACTGTTCCAGATTTACTATGGGGGTCAATTTTGCATGCCACCCCAAAATTTTCTCTGACCCTATGGCCACCCCTATGAAACTTTTCAGGGGGTGCCACTGGTCTTTGGGGCTTTTCCCTGAGTTTTCTTTTTATTATCATTATTGTTTTCATGGGTCTTTTCCATTCATGTCATCCATCTGGGATGGGCTGGCTGCCTTTCTTTGAAACTTTGGGTAGCTGCTGAGTTAACAAGAACAAGAAAATGCTTGGAGATTGGAGCCTTAACCTTTAACATGTGTAGCTACAATTTTGTTTCTGAGCTTCTCACACAGCCCTGGCCTTTGTGGACTCTGGTCCATGTTATGGCTATCGTCAGTGTTGTGCCCGAACTCCTTCACTGAATGATCGTTCGTGAATTTGTTCCTTTTTTACGTGAACTGAACTCGTTCGTATTTTGCCTGACGAACGTAAAAGTGAGTGCGTTCGTCCTGGCGTGTGTGAACAGATTTATGAACGCGTTCTTTCGCCATTCTAGCTCCAGATCTCCACTGAGCTTTTCCGGAGCTAAAGCCTAGCTAAAACATCCTGTTAGCCATAGAGTTTATAAAAAGTAGAAGCCGCAAATGCGGCCAAACGTAGGCAGTAGTGGTTGGTGCGGCGTCTACTCTTCTATGTCTATGCTGTGTGCAGGAGTCAAAGTTCATTCAGAAAAATTGAAAAGAGACTTAACTGAAAGATTATACATTTTTTATTGTTTTGCACTTTTAATATGTTTAGTTTGCTACCTCAGCCTGCTTCCTAAGACTGTTTAATAATTTCCCATTAAAATAACGTTTTCCTCGTGTTATTGAGAATATACTGTAGGGTAAAAACTGCAGCTGGGTATGAGTGTGGACTGAACAAGTGCCAACAATTGGAAAATTATTTCAGAAGTTATTTATATATATATAAATATATATACATACATACATATATATATATATATATATATATATATATATATGTATATATATATATATATATATATATATATATATATATTTATACACACATATATATATATATATATATATATATATATATATATATCTATACACACACACACACACACATATATATATATATATATATATATATATATATATATATATATACGTATATATATATATATACGTATATATACATAAAATATATACATATATATATATATATATATACACACATATATATACATATATACATATATATATACACACATATATATATATATATATATATACATACATATATATATACATACATATATTTACATATACATACATATATAGGAGAAAAAAGAACTATGAACTAGTTCGTTTTTGTAACAGTGAACTTAGTTCAAAATGTTTTAAAGTATGAACTAAGAAACAAACTACAGGGAGTGCAGAATTATCAGCAAGTTGTATTTTTGAGGAATAATTTTATTATTGAACAACATACACGTTCTCAATGAACTCAAAAAAACTCATTAATATCAAAGCTGAATGTTTTTGGAAGTAGTTTTTAGTTGTAGATATTTTAGGGGGATATCTGTGTGTGCAGGTGACTATTACTGTGCATAATTATTAGACAACTTAACAAAAAACAAATATATACCCATTTCATTTATTTATTTTTACCAGTGAAACCAATATAACATCTCCACATTCCCAAATATACATTTCTGACATTCAAAAACAATACAAAAACAAATCAGCGACCAATATAGCCACCTTTCTTTGCAAGGACACTCAAAAGCCTGCCATCCATGGATTCTGTCAGTGTTTAGATCTGTTCACCATCAACATTGCGTGCAGCAGCAACCACAGCCTCCCAGACACTGTTCAGAGAGGTGTACTGTTTTCCCTCCTTGTAAATCTCACATTTGATGATGGAGCACAGGTTCTCAATGGGGTTCAGATCAGGTGAACAAGGAGGCCATGTCATTAGTTTTTCTTCTTTTATACCCTTTCCTGCCAGCCACGCTGTGGAGTACTTGGACGCGTGTGATGGAGCATTGTCCTGCATGAAAACCATGTTTTTCTTGAAGGATGCAGACTGCTTCCTGTACCACTGCTTGAAGAAGGTGTCTTCCAGAAACTGGTAGTAGGACTGGGAGTTGAGCTTGACTCCATCCTCAACCCGAAAAGGCCCCACAAGCTCATCTTTGATGGTACCAGCCCAAACCAGTACTCCACCTCCACCTTGCTGGCGCCTGAGTCGGACTGGAGCTCTCTGCCCTTTACCAATCCATCCATCTGGCCCATCCAGACTCACTCTCATTTCATCAGTCCATAAAACCTTAGAAAAATCATTCTGGAGACATTTCTTGGCCCAGTCTTGACGTTTCAGCTTGTGTGTCTTGTTCAGTGGTGGTGGTCTTTCAGCCTTTCTTACCTTGGCCATGTCTCTGAGTATTGCACACCTTGTGCTTTTGGGCACTCCAGTGATGTTGCAGCTCTGAAATATGGCCAAACTGGTGGCAAGTGGCATCTTGGCAGCTGCACGCTTGACTTTTCTCAGTTCATGGGCAGTTATTTTGCGCCTTGGTTTTTCCACATGCTTCTTGCGACCCTGTTGACTATTTTAAATGAAACGCTTGATTGTTCGATGATCACGCTTCAGAAGCTTTGCAGTTTTAAGACTGCTGCATCCCTCTGCAAGATATCTCACTATTTTTGACTTTTCTGAGCCTGTCAAGTGCTTCTTTTGACCCATTTTGCCATAGGAAAGGAAGTTGCCTAATAATTATGCACACCTGATATAGGGTGTTGATGTCATTAGACCACACCCCTTCTCATTACAGAGATGCACATCACCTAATATGCTTAATTGGTGGTAGGCTTTCGAGCCTATACAGCTTGGAGTAAGACAACATGCATGAAGAGGATGATGTGGACAAAATACTCATTTGCCTAATAATTCTGCACTCCCTGTAGTTTGTTTTAAAATGTATGAGCTGAACTCTGAACTAGTTTGTTTGTTTTTTTAAACGAACTTTCCCAACACTGACTCTAATGCTGACATTAATCTTGTTAGGGGCGCCAACAAATCTGCCACGATCTTTGCATTCATTTGTCAAATAAACAAATCACTCATTTTCATATTTTTTCTTTACTCTGTCGGGTCCTGAAAGCATGCAGGTAAAAATAGACGTTTCTGAAGAGATGTAGACATGTCTCAGTAAACCTTGGTCTGTAACGTACTCAGTGAAACTTTCAAAGACCATAGGAACTTTAGGGGTTTTGCATGTGCTCTATGAGTAGCAGTTTGACCTTGGAGTGACCTGATTTGAACAACCTCTCCTGGGCAGATTAGTCACTTTTGAAGCTTTTAATTCATGAATGAACTTTCTGACTTTCTGACCTTTAAACTCTTTCAGAATTAGTACAAAGAAACTATTTCTAAGATCCTTGCTGGTGGTTTTAGGTCTTGGCATTAACATTTAAATAAACATAATACATAAATAAGTAAAGTATCATACAGTTGCTCCTCTGAAGCTGTTTTTACATTTTCTATCAGGCAAAGATCTGAGTTGCTGTTTTCATTTGGTCCAGATGCAAAGTAATTGAGGACTGACATTATACTTTATGTTAAACATCATTCTATATTCAAGCTCCCGGTTCTGCGTGGCAGCTGCATCCCAGACCTGCCTCCTGGTATCTCACACCCAGGTGATATGGGAGGGCCACTGGGAGAAGTGGTGATCAATCACGCTTAGATTCTCTCAGACCCCCAGGCCTGTCTGCTGGAAAACATGAGTTCCCCAGGAGGGTCCTAGTGGGAGATCCCTTCCCACTAGCACCTTATCTCCCTGTTTCCCCTTTAGAGAACATGTCCCGCATGGATGGTGTCCTCAGGAGAAATTAGGATTGCACTGGAGCATCTCACATGCAGAGCACCAAAACCTGGCTACAGAATGGCCTGGGACCAATATGGAACCAGTAATACAAACAACAGAGACACATTGCCTCCAGTGGAGTGAAACCTTCGTTAATGCACAGCAGGGCATCATGGGAAACACTTCTCCTGAAGTAAACACAAATGGAATGGAGTCATGCCCGTCTTTTCTGTTTGTTTGGTTTAGTTTCTGACATTTGGGTTGATTTTGCTCATGTCTCTGGAAGGAACCAGCACAACATAAACTTAAATAAAAGCTATCTAAACCCCCAACCCACTCCATCATTGCTGCTTGTGACTAATCAGTTCCACTGCAAAGAACCCAGGAACATCTAGCTGGTTCTCAAGGCTTTCAGAAAATGTTGTAGACAGATGTGGCAAAACAAAGCTTTCTGGAAGGCGTGCGCCCCGTCACATCGGATACAAAACTAGCTTCATTTCAGAATAAACGTCCTACCAGCATGGTGGTGGTGGTGTAATGGTCTGGGCTGATTTCCAGCTTCAGGGCCTGGACCTGAATTCAGAAAGTCTGACTTCTGGCCTTGTCACTTTGGCCAGGTTGGTTAGGCTGATATGAAAATCTTAAGTCTGACCATAAAATAAAATAAAAAAACTGTAAAAATGTGAGAACTTTGTCTCCTTACCAGTCTGTAAAAGAGAGAAAAGGCCTTGTTAACAGCCTCTTTTCTGGAAACACCCCCCCCCCCCCCCCCCATCACACCCCCAGGCCTCACTATGTTTCATCTGACTGGGACCCTGGCAGATTTATGACACGTCCAGCTGAGAGGAAGATTTCTGTAGTTACAGGGGGTAGAGAAGGAAGTAAATGACTCTTTCAGGCCAGTGGGAGCAGATAAGAGTCTCCTCATTTATTTTGAATGGAACTTGTTTTATAAACTGTGAGAATCACTTTTTTTCTCGCTTTTGCTTCCTGGTCATGCATCTGACACCTTCTTTAAAGTATTTGATGCTGAAGGAAGTTCATAACTGCAGTTAGGACAAACTTGTAATATTGTTTTCCCTTTGAATAAGGTCAAATACACACCGAGATCAAAGAGGATCAGGCCGGATGATCTGCCCCCACCGGCCATGTAATCCCCTGTGAGGGCTTTCAGCTCCTTCTTATTCTAACTTGGAGGCCAAATTATTACATTTCTTCTAATTAATTACTCCACTGCAGTTTCAGTGCATCATTTGTTAATTAAAAGAACTTATTTTTATAAATATACATTCATGTGTTATACAATAACGAGAAGAGCAACAGTTTTCATTTGGGTCCTTGTTGCAGCCTCCGCCTGAACCAGGGTCCGTCTTCCCTCCTGGCACACCCATGTTTCACTAGAACCTGAGAGCAGTCCTCGCACTTCACCTTGCAGCACCAGTGGAACCTGCAGTTGCAGCTGCTCACCGTCTCCGTGCGCCTCTCCTCCACCCTCAGGCCGCACTCATGGCACAGCCTGCGGCAGCTCCTCCTCTCCCCTTGGCTCAGCCCGTGCCCTTGCTGCAGACACTCCCGGCCCTCCGTGCCGAGGAGTCCGAGGCTGCTGTTCCTCCTGCAGTAGTCCGGGGAGTCCTCCAGGTAGATGAGCTCGGTTTCGGCAGTGGTGCTGAACGCATCCACCACAGCTCCTCGGCTGTCCGCGCTGTTCCCGGCCTTGACATGCTTTTTGTCTACATCCAGCTTTTGAGCCTGATTGTATTTGGTCTTTAAATAGTTGCCGATTTCTCTGAAGTCTGACAGCTGCGTCCAGCATGTTTGGACACTGCAACTTTCGGACATGCCATGGCACCTGCAGATGCGCTTCATGGTGGCCTTCACAGCCTGTTGGAAAGCAAAGAGTTAAAGGGATATTTCAATGTGAAACAGTCACGAACAACTAATAACGTTAAAGTCCCCTTATGTATCATCACACACACACTGACGAAATCACATTGTTGCATTTGACCCATCCCCGTGGGGAGCGGTCAGCTGCAGCAGTGGCTGCACTTGGGAGCTATTGAGATGTAACCTCCCAAGCCTTACAGCTAAGTGTCAAGCGGTGAGACAATGGGTCCAATTTTTAAAGTCTTTTGTATGACCTGAATGTGGATTTGAACCCACAATCTCTCAGTCTCAGGGAGGACACTCATCACTGAAGAGGTGGTAATTATGTTATACGTAGCTCTCCGTTTTGAGACGAGATTAGTTCTGATTAGATCAGAACTCTTCCAATGACTCGGATTGGTGACATGATGAAGTGTTTTCTGCAGCTGGAGTCACAAGCTTTAATGCTTCCTTCACCTGCTGCCTAATGACTTTCTATTGTTATATAATGGTGTGGGTTTGTTGCTGGTGGAAATGTTTGAGTTGCACGACAAATCTGCTGGAATAACATATGGCACTGAGAAGGTTCTAAAGTAGGAAAACAGGTGGGTGAGGAGGGTAGATTACTGAACTGACCCCACTGAGACCAGTTGTTGGCTCATCAGTCAGATCAGAACTCATCTCTATTTATCCAAACTGAGGCCGTTCAAATAGCAATGACAACAGGAAGGAAATAAATAATTCTAAACATTTTCACAGAAGTGAACTTGAAAAGCTCTGAAAACTTTAAGCTGCTGCGCAGAAAGCCTTTTTCTCCAAACACAGGCTCACCTGCCGTCCTGCTGCGTTGTTGTGCAGGTTGACAGCAGCCCGGGAGTCCTGCCCGGTCTCCTGCGCGTCCACGTACTGTTTGGAGATCCTCTCTCCAAAATCCACATTGTCACTGCAGCCACCCCACAGCCAGCCCCGCCCCCCTGAAACATTATTTAAATGAGGAAGTGTCACAACTCATGAAGCTCCCAAAGACAATCTTCTGACTGTGGAGGACCTCACCGATTTTCCCATTGTTTGACACGTCACAGCCGCAGTTTTCAAGGTCGCCCAGGCTGCAGTTTCTGGTCAGGGTATACATGACTCCTGCTGCGCTGATGGCGTGGACAAAAGACGTCTCTCTGGTGGCTGATGAGCAGGAGAAGGACATGCATTTAATACAGTGGCCAATAAATAAAACACAAATGGTGAAAACTCAAATGAAGACGGATTTAAAAAGCCTACTTCTGCCCTGTCTCACCTCGTCTCAGTCCTCTAAGCTGAGTTGCGCTGTCTGGGCAGTTCCATCTGTCCCACGCAAACTGGTGTTTGCACTCCTCTATCCCTGTCTGCGTACCGACCTGCACGCTCCTGGCATAGGTGAGAAAAGCCTGCCAGAGGAAAATATGTATAAAGCCATTTTTTACTTTTAATTTATATTCATCGTTGCTGCTTTAATCTATAATAATAATAATAATAATAATCGAATAAGTTAAAAATAAAGAGTTACCTTTGATCCTGTCATGAGAAAGTTACTGGCCACCCTGAGAGGAAAAACATCCACATATTTAGAATCAGTTGCTTAAATGTGGGGGAAAGCACATAAATATTATCTTACCAGGCACGTGCAGGGTTGGTTTGGAGAAGCACGAACAGAAACCAAAACACAAAATGCGTCATTTTCCGGTTTTACAGAGCCGTTTGGGTCCGATGCGCAGCGGCTGTCCTCTTTGGCGACGGGAACAAATGGAAGTCTTGTTTTGTGTCCCCTAAAGGCCCGAGGAAGCTGATTGGAGGACTGATTCAAGAAACGCCTCTGTGCGCAAAAGGACTCGTCCCTCCCCATGCCTGAAGGACAGGACTCCAGTATACAAACGATGGAATCAGAACATAACGGAGCCGTGCGTTTTGTATGAAAATATTTATTACGCGTCCATCTTAATAAAAATACACTTAATTTAGTAAACATTTCATTCGTTAGTCAACCCGCTGGGCTGGAGCTGCGTCTTCAAAAACTCAGTCTAACTTGAATCTATTCAAAAAGATAAAAGTGCGAAAAGAAGGTTGAGATTTCTCCTCATCATCCTTAAAGTCACCGTCGGCGCACCTGCAGCCTGCTCCTCGTCTTAATGGGCTCCCTTCTCCCTGCTTTACGCGTGCAATAATATTTGGTGACCACTTGTGCGCATCTTTCACACCTTACTGTACAGCACCAGTGAAACTTGCAGTTGCAGCTGCTGACGACCTCCACGCGTTTCTTCGCTACTTGGAGGCCGCATTCATGGCACAGCCTGCGGCAGCTCCTCCTCTCCCGCTGGGACGCGGTCTTGTCGCCCTTCAGACACTCCCGTCCCTCTGTGCCCTGCACGCCCAGACTCTGATTCTTGACGCAGTAGTTTGGAGAGTCCTCTTGGTAAACGAGTTCAGTTCTGGCAATGCTCCGGAAAGCCAGCGCTATGGCGCCTTTGTTGTCCGCGCTGTTCCCCGCTCTCGCCGGGTTCTTGTCCACTTCAAGTTTCTTGGCGTGTTTGTGCTTCATCTTTAAGTAGCTGCCAACCTCCCTGAAGTCAGCGAGATGCATCCAGCACGTCTGGATACTGCAGCTGCCAGAAACTCCGTGGCACTTACAGGTTTTCCTCATGGTCGCCTTGACGGCCTGTCAGAAGAGTCGGAATCCATCAGTCCTGCAAACCAATCTTGAGCACGTTTCTTTTGAAAATAAAATAAAACTCAGAAATACAAACTATATTTTAAACGAATGCATCAGAGTCTTACCAATCTACCCGCCTCGTTGTTGTGGAGGTTTACTGCTGCGCGTGAGTCGTGTCCATCTTCCAGTGCGTCCACAAACTGTCTGGAGATTTTTTCTCCAAATGCCACATTGTCACTGCAACCGCCCCAGATCCATCCGCTACCTCCTGGGATGTTATAAAGAACAAACTGACATGTTGATCAATTGGATTTAATGTTTTGTTGTTACATTACTTTACAGGTTTTTTTGTAATAACAGATAAAAAGTTGAAGATGCGCACCTGTCTGCCCAATTCTGGAATCGTCGCAGCCGCAATTGTCAAAGTTTCCCAAACTGCAGTTCTTGGTAAGCATGTACATCACTCCAGCTGCGCTGATGGCGTGCACAAAAGACGTTTCCCTTGTTGCTGTAAAACGAAAAAGGAAAGGAGCCGTAAGAAGACTGGAACACCCGTGCATAAATGGCTCAAACGGCGATTACGCACGAAACTGACGCATCAATGTTGCGCGCAGTATTAGATAACATGTGTGGATTATTATTATTTTAATAATAAACTTCTTACCGCTTCGGATGCCTTTGTGTGTGGATAACTGAAGTGTGCTCTCTGGACAGTTCCACCTCTCCAGAGCAAACTGATGTTTGCACTCTTTTATTCCACTCTGCGCGCCTGCCTGCACGCTGCTAACGTAGCTCAAAAAAGCCTGCGGACAACACATCTTAAAACTTATTTCAGTTCATTTAAAATTTATATCTTTAATAGATAATTACAATTTATAAATAAAGTAACAACATCTTAAATTGAGCACATTTGCATTCTTCGGAGGATGTTTTACGCACGAGTTTCCATGCGTGCACAGTGTGGTTACCTTTGGGCCAGTCATGAGGAAATTATTAACCGTCCTGTCAAGAGAAAACCAAATATTAATGTCATTAATTTGCACATGCATCATTTTAGTGTTTTAATTCCTACCAAGCCGATGCAAACTGAGCCTGGAGGAGCATGGACAGAGCCAGGACACTCAGCGGTCCCATTGTAGCTGCAGCCCGAGTGGAGGCCTGCTTGCTGCTGACTCCAGATGTGGGGAGGACCACTGATGCTGCTGCCTCCCTCTTCACTGATGATATTTATACACTCTTGCCCATTTGATTCACAGATGTTTGCTGCAGGTTAGCGCTTCTCTGTGAAAAGCGTAAATGACGGCGCTGATTCCGTGCGCAGGTGCACTTCAAAGACGTGATGGCAAACAGCCCCTCATTCACCTGTCGCTCTCAGCCGCTCATTCTTTTATGGTTTTCCCACGATGATGGGCGTTTGCAGAGAATCCTACCAGCAACTGATTAAGTCAGATTTGGCAAAAAATAAAAAATATGAGAATTCTATTTAAAACTAAACTCCAAAAGGACACCGCCAGAGTGTGATTGTTATTACGTCCATCATATCCGCGGAGACCGCCGTGAGGCTTCTTGTCCTGTTGAAGCTTTTGGGAAATGGCACCGGTGTCCCACGGGGACTCACAGGGACTACAAAGCCTCCAGCTTTTCAGGATCTGCGCTGTTATAGTCATGTAAATCCCGCCTCACACATGGGCGAAAATGACACGGCCATGATAATAGGATAATAGATGTTTCCATGGGAAACAACTAGGTGTGAAAAGAGTCTGGAATTTAAAAGCGCTTGAACGCATCGCAGCTTTTGTTTGACTGCTGTGTGGCCACTCATCATTTTGTTTTAATTTAGGGCAAACCGGTGAGAAACGCACCTTTTTTCTTAGATAACATGTTAAATTATTTGTAAAGGATCTCGATTTCTTCTTATTATCCCAGTTTCTGTCACTCTGGTCTGATTTAATTCAAGAGATGCAAGTGATCACGGTTACAGTCACCAAATTAGATCTTTTTACGCTTGTGAAATCCACTCTGAAGCACTCAAAATCCCTTAAAACAACAAATCCACTCAGCGCGCCGGACGGGGGGGGGGGCACAATGGGCGGAGGGCTGGGGGTGAGGATAATCCTCACTAATTATCACCCACATTCGTTTTCCAGCAAGACTGAAACCAACCCACAACGATGCTGCACGTCATAAGTGAACGCACGCGCCATAATGCGCGTTTAAGAGCTCACTTAACGGCTTTAATCGGTTAATCTGGGAGCCAGATTAAACATCGAAACTAATCAACGCTAATCAGGTGGATTGTTTCGTTTTACCGTTCTTACTTAAGTGATTTTAAAAGTAAAAACAGTCACCAAACGGTCAGCAGGGCTAGATTTGAGCTGCCTTTACGCATTAAAGCAGTTTTCTCTTGCTTGTTTAGTAAATAAACGTTAATGAAATGAGCCTCAAACACACGTCAGACACATTAGTCGGGCCGCATGGCGCGCTGCTGATGTATGGTCTGTGGAGTGAGGTGAGAGAAATGGAGCGGTAGGCGCGAGAGGCGACGGGTCTGCTGGTCTGGGTGGAGGTGGCAGGACTGGAGACGCCAGCAGGAGACGGAGTCTCAGGCCAGCGTAAACAGGCCTCCTTAGGCCTTTTAAATAGTAGGGTTAAGGTTTGGGTCAAGCCACATTTAGAAAGAACGCATCAATTTGTTACCAGAATCTATTTATTGTTTTATATCTTACACACTTTAATTGTACTTTTTGAAAACTTATTTTATTATCACGTCCTTTCATTTTTGTTTTGTTCGAGTTTACACGGTGTACTCGTTAAGCCCCGCCCTCTCGTTATTCAACAGGCATTATCATCATCCTCATCCAGCGGAAATGATAACATGTAGAACTTTGAGATGAAAAATATATTATTAAATAATAGAGTAAATACTCTGACAACGGAGCATCCACACTTGTTTCTGTTTTCAAGGTTTTTTAATAACAACAATACTTTTTCATAAATTATTAATTTATTTACAATGTCATGTTTCATCACAATTAACAGGCCCAATCTGCGAGTTAAATCTCCATCGCTTTGTAAAACTGTAAATATATTTTAATAAAGAAATAAAGAAAATGATCAGGTCCAGTGATCAAAGCCTACTGGTTGTGCAGCACCAGGCTAAAGGTCAAAGGTGACAGATCATCTGCTGCTGTGGCCCCCAGCAAGGACGTAATTTTCACTTTAGAAGTGGGGGGGGGGGACGGGGGGGGTATCTTTACAATATGTTCTAAGGGGAAACAGGCTTCAACACAAACGGTTGCTTTCCACTTCGTCCTAGAGCTCAACCAGTGTCAATTTAATATAGCGTAATATTGTTTTTGGATGGTAAAAAGTGCAGGGGTCAAAACTTGGCTTTGGAAAAAGTGGGGGGGACATGTCCCCCCCCCCCCCCCCCCCCCCAAAAAAAAAAAATTACGTCCATAGCCCCCAGACTCTGGAACTCTCTCCCCCTGAGCCTGAGATCAGTGGACTCAGTGGTCTCCTTTAAAAAGCAGCTGAAGACTCACTTGTTCAAGCTGGCTTTTGCATGACCTTCTTCACCACTCTCTCTTTATTCTGCTCTCCCCACTTATTCCACCTTCCTCAGGATCCACTGATTTCCCTCTTTCCTGTTCACTCTCTCTTTCTTAACATTTTTTCTTTTAAATCGCAACTGCTTATTCTTGCTCATTTTAAATATATTTTAAACATTTTCAAAATGCTTTTTATATTTTTACAATTTTTATATTTTTTGTTTTTGTGAAGTGCCTCCTGATTTTTATCTTGAGAGGCGCTATAAAAATGATATTTTCTTCTTCTTCTTCTCGTTCCACCTGACCCATCAATCAGGAACGCCTGGAAGTACTTAGCACCGGCCGACATTCCTGCGTGATTAGATGAGAAAATCAGCTTTAGCTTTTACTGACACCTGAAAATGAACAGTTTACAGAAATAAAACAGGTTTCTCACCTGGGATGAAGCGGTTCAGGTGGAGATGGAAGGACTCCAGGGAAGTGGAGCTCCTCGCTCAGCGATAGGACGAGCAGTCTGACCCCTCCTTTTGTCAGACCGCCCGTCTGGGTGTACAGCTGCACGCCTGGGTGGTCCTGGATGCAGCTGAGGTGGCGCCTCTGCGTGTCTCAGATTTCCTGGATGTGGAGAGCGTCAAGCAACAGGATGTTCAGCGTGTTGTGTCCTGCGGGCCCTCTGAAGGTGTCGAGGAGGTTTTGGAGGAGAAGCGTTGTCTCCTCGGCTCCACGCGTCCTCCTGCGGCAGTGGAGCCTCCATTCCTCCTTGCCGATCCGCTGGATCACATCAGCATCCGTCAGGTTGACCATCCCGTGCGTCCCCTCCAGCTCGGACCGCTTGGCACCCATGAGATGGCGAGCATTTTCGGCGTCCACCTGGAAGATGCAGTAAGACAGCTGCCTCATGAAGGTGGGATCCAGCTCGTGGCTCTCTGTGGTGACACCTGATGTGAAGCGGCGCATCAGATGCCAGATGTCCAGCCGAACTATGAGCTGTTCCCACTCCTGCGACAGAGAGGTTAGTCATTGGAGTGCACCACAGTCAAGATCAGAACCCAAAAATCATTCACTGCTCTATAAATTGTCTTTTACAGAAATTAATTTGGGTGTCTGATTGGTTTAACATTTTCAGAAAGACATTGGGTAGAAATTCAGGTGACCTGGTGATCCATTAAAGTAATTCACAACAAAATAACGTATCATCGTGATTAAAAATCAAATAACTGAAGAAGTCAGTCAGCAGTGATGCAAGTTTACACCAGAAATAAGGTCTTGGACACGCCGTCCTGTTTGCAGCAGTCGCGGTCCACGTACATGAGCTGGGGGGCAGGTACCTCGGCTAATTGGCACTGCCTCATCAGGCCGGCCGCCATCTTGGACAGGCCCTTGGAGCCCTCGCAGCAAGTGAGGATGCTCATGAGGACCTGGCCGTGCTCGTTACCCACGTTGGAAGCCCAGGCGGCCCTGCCAGAGGCGACACCTGCGAGCTTCTTCGTCACCTGCACACAGAGAACTTCCTGCGTAAAGACCAGCAGAACTGTTGTTCACAAGCAGCAAGTAAACACAAAGCAGTGACCGACCTTATTTGTGGAATCCATCTTTAGGATGGATCCGAAGGTGGACATGATCCTGGCCTTGTACTCGTCCAGCCGAGTCAGCACATCATAACCGTAAACGGTCAGCAGCCAGACGGGTGAGGGCACAGGGGGCATCTGGGGAGGTGGTGTGATCTGCCCCCTCGTGCTGCCCAAGGCCAGGAACTGCTCGCAGACGCCGAGGTACTGAATCGCTCTCCGCATCCAGGCGTCGGAATGCTGCTCCCACAGGGTGTTGCACAGCTGATTGGCACTGTTGCCCAGAGTGTGAGATCTCAGCATAGCAACCACCCTCTGGTCACAGGACAGCCTGCGTGAACAAAGCAAACACTACCACATCAAACTCAGCTGGACACACCCACGTGTGCACACATTTTCACTTCTTTGATACTTGTACGTGAGTACAGCTGGAAACTGGCAGATGTAGGTGGGGGGCAGCTGCCTTACGATGCCCTGTGACCACCCTCCGCCCCTCTTCTTACATCGACGGCACTCCAGGTACTCAGTGGCCATGAGATACCAGCCGTCGATGTCCAGGACCCTCCGGCTGGTCCTGTAGAGCCCAGCCTTTTTCAGGATGGTGCTGCACAAAGGCTGGGGGCACGTCAGCTGCAGGTGCCACATCCTGTGAGGCATCCACAGGAAGAGCCGACATGCAAAGAAGGGGTCAGGGGAGGCGGGAGGCTGATTGTAGATTGCCCGGGGCTGGGGAGGATACCACCAGGGACTGAGCTCCGTGATGAGCCGCGGCCTCCCAGCACCGTCCCTGGTGAACTGTCATGTTGTGTGGTAGATGCCTAACCCACGACATACAGAATCAGTCCACAGAGTCAAAGAAGATCGCAAACAATAATTTATTAGAAAAAGAGAACAGAAGGAGCTGCTAGGAAGTCTAGCAGTATTCGGCAGAGAAGCGAGGTTCGGGTGTGGAGAATCCTGGAGGAACAGGGAGAGTTAGGTCTGGCACTCGGAAATCTGAATGTTGGATCTGATGGAACTTACAGGTTGGAGGTGAGACCTCGTGAGAGAGGGAGGAGGGACCGGTCTGGGGAGGGCAGGAGGCTTACTGGAGGCTGATGAGCTTGGAGTCCAAATGAGGAGGGAGCTGAGCATGAAGGGTAATGGTGATCCAGGAGGGAGGGTGGGCAGCCTGGAGTGGGAAGACCAGAGGAGGACGCT